ACACACACACACACACACACACACACACACACACACACACACACACACACACACACACATATAAAACCACTATAATAAACAGTTCTGCATATGTTTGCCTTGTTATGAACTTTGCACTGAAAAAGCCTTGGTACTGTACTGTACTGTACTGTACATTAACTCTGTATCTGCCTTCAACAATAAATACTTTAATGTGGAAACTCGTGTGTGAAATCCTAATTTCTTGCCTTTTTTTTCTTTTGCCATTATAATGGCACATACGATGCAGGAAGGCTCAGGTTGTTTACCTGCAAGGCCTTGACGTTGGACGAAGGTTTGGACATGCTCCCCCCTCGGTGAATCCACTGACCTGCAAAGGGCAAAACATAGACAGTCAGTTGTGTGTTTTTGTGTGCATTTGTGCATACTGGGGGCACTGGGACTGTGGTTTTCGAGGACCAGGATACCATTTCAGTTGCTTAGCGACTCTTACAAAAAAAACGTCAGGTAGAGGAACTGTTCTTTGAATCATTTATGAGAGGGACACAGAGATGCTGTCAAAATAAAAGTACCACCGTTTTGTTGGTGGAAGAGAAGAGATGTTTATTTACAGAAAATAAATTGGCAGTACAGTGTTATAGTGACAAAATGTATTAAATAATATTCATTGTACTTTAAAGTCCAATGTGTGTTTTACTTTGCTCTGATAAATTAAGATTGTACACAAAGAATAAATTTAAAAAACTAATGAAGGTCTACAATAAAAAAAGGAACATTCATATCAGTCATATCTGTTTACATGATAAAAGTTTCATCCTTTTTTCTGACCATCTGTTCTGACTGTCCTTACTTAGCTTCAGTTTCACTTCCAAGAAATCAGAACAGTGTTGTTGTACTATGCAAATTGTTGCAGCAACATGTCTTCACYGAAACCATTTCAACAACACAAGTGCATAAATGTGATTCAACATTACTCCTACAATACAATAGTATACAATAAGGTGCAATGAAATATGAAACATCAAATATGCTATATTGTCCCCTAAGAAAATACAAACGTTTTTAAATGAATGGTGTTCGAATAGCTGTCTTTACGACACACTAAACTGGAAACATGATTGAAACATAAGTCACTTGATACATTTATGAGGGTTMGATCAGTTCTATGAAATGGCCTCAGGTGTATTATTGTGCTCTTAGGAATATGCAGGGATCATATTTGCTTCTGAATGCTTTGAAAACACAGGTGACATACAGAATCACACTAATTTTACTTTCCGGAGCTTCAGTGCCAGCTCAACATGTTATAGAGTTTCTTTTCTGTTGAACGTTTGCATCACAAAAGACTCAACTAAAACACTGTTTGTGTCAGCTGAAATGGAAAAAAAGCCTCACAATAAATATGTGAAATAAACCCCAGTTCTTAATATGTCTTAATATGGTGGAAGTACTCAAAGGTAAAATTACATATGGGGCCACAAAAGCAACATTATTCCCTTCCTGAAGCTCTTTTCTGCCTGTCAGGCCTCATTGGTTACTATGATGTCATCACTCAGGTGTTGGTGCTGCAGTGAAATCTATTTAAAAACAAGCTAAATTAAATTAGAATAACCAAACTAAAGTGGAAGTTAAAGGAAAATGTTGCCTTAAACCAAGTGACAAATATGAAAATGATAATAATAATAAAAAGGTGAGGATGCAATCCCGTTGATGTTGCCACACAGGGTAGAACAATTTCTTGTTGTTATTGTTTCTTTGTTTTTTTCTTCTCTTTTTTTTTTTTTTTGTTATTTTTCCCCGAGCCGGTTGTTAGGTTACCTTTTATGGAACCTAACCAGTTGTCTGCGTGGCTTTAGAGAGCATGTTTTGCATGCTCCTTACAAAAATAATAATACAAACTGCCTGTTGTTACTGACTGTTAAACAATTTGTTTATGTCGAATGATAATTGTGGTTTGGTGCACTTAAAACCTGCTAACAATGCTAAGACATGGAACTACACACTTGGTTAGACTCCATGCTGCAGTAGTTTCTAACAGAACACTTCATTGTTGAAAGTTATTATGTATCTTTTTTTTGTTTTAACAATATTTTGATACTTTTCTTATTTTTTAAAATCTTTTTTAAGTCCTTCATAGATCAGCACAGGCCCAAGAGCGTTCTAATTGTGGCTGCTTCCCTGGCTTATTTATCTAATCTGCTTGAAGCTCAGAGGACCAGAGAGTCTCCAACGGTTTCCAGGGAGCTGTTTGTGCAAAAACATACAATAAAAAAAGCATCGCTGTGCCTGACACGTGCACGAAAGCCCGGACGTTCCCAGAATACACACCGTGACAGTATTCATGTTCAAGTAACAGCTGCATTCTAATGATCTTTCACTTTTACCATCTGACCTCAGCTGGACCTGTTTGTTTTTTCTCTACCCAGTGGTGTTAAAACAGTTTAAGAGCCATGAGTGTAATGGAATGTGTAATGAGCATAACTGCTTGTCAAGAATATTAATCTGAGATAATTCAGCGGTATCTGTAAGATTACATTTTTGTCACATTTTATGAAACACTCTAAAATATGTTTGTAACTCAGTGTATCAGCATGGGCTTAAATTCCACAAGTTAAGAAAGTTTATTTCATGTTTAAGACCAAATCTTCATTTGAAATYGGTAAAAAAAAAACTCAATTCTGTAGGAAACAAGATTTCAAAAGTGTGGTGTCATACAGCTTGCTAGCTGGCCTAAACCAAACCAATACTTTATGTTTAAAAGTTTGATATATGTATATTTTTACAGTTCACAGTTTCCTGGAAAAGGATTTTAAATGTTGCTGACTCACGCTGAACTCTTTTGAGTATGGATGAACTTTGCATAGCAGTAATAATACACTTTTGTTTATACATTTCAGCAGAGTGAAGGCAGAATGGAAGGTGGAGAGTGTAACAAAGACATCAGGACGGACCAATCAAAGCAGGATCAGCTTCTTAGAAAGACACCTTTTGAGATTTTTGGAAAGTATACTTAATGAAAAAAACACTTTGATAATGTTGAATAATAACAAAAACAATGACAAAACTGAACCAATTTTAATTTTCAATAGTCAAACATTGATCAAAATGTTTAGAATTAAACACTAACATAAAAAATCCCATTAACCATTATCCTACATTGTTTTGTTGGTTTTGTAACGTGTAAAAAAAGTGATGGTTTCAGAGGTCCAAAATATTTGTTTCGTGACATAAGGCAGATAAAAATTGTTAGTTTCACAATTAGCACATAAGCTCAACAATTTCCATTAATATATCTGCTCAGTGCTTAACAAAACACCTGTTTCAGTTTTTTTACTATGTTTGCAATAGCTTATTTTTCCAATGCTAACACTTCAGTGTCACTTCAAAAACAAGACATGAACAGACATTCTATGAAGCAGCACTCTATTGCCTACTGTAATTAGATTAGTCATGTTTTTTTTTTCCTTTTAAGTCTTTCATGTTTGACTCTTTGCTCTCCATCTCTGTTCTTTTCTCTGGCCTTTCACTTTGACTGTCTCTGCCTCATAAGTGGCAGTAGGATTCCTTTCGTATCTGGGATTTGTTCTCACTATAAATAGATGAGTGATGCACAGAGGGGACCTGCTTTCTATCCACACTCATCCACTTACATGGACACTCACGGAGACGAACCAAAGCGTAGTTAAACACTGCAGCGAGCGTTTGGCAGACTCAGTTTTTAAAAGGTCTTTAAAACTCCATTTGTGGTGAAACCTGCCAGTTTATACAATATTAATAACCTCCTAACCATAATCAGTTTTGGGACGCTACCATTCAGCTTCTCTTCAAAGTTTGTCCCTAAACTAGATGTTTAAACCAGACTTTACAAATATAACCTTTAACTTAATAGAACCCTAAAACTTAAGATCTGAAAACACTTCCCTGGGATCTAAACTGACAGTGGCTTTTTACTGCTTTTCAAATACACAGATGCAGAAGTAGGTGTAACTGCTTTTAAAATGCTGATTGATACACAACCATAAGCTTGTGGATGAGAAAGGTAATCTGACTTTGTTAAAGGTGTGTGTGTGTGTGTGTGTGAATGAGTGTGTGCTATCTTACCTCCTGCTGCGTGTGGCTGCTCTGCCCTGCCTGGTGCTTCTTTCTCTGAGGTCCTCTTCAGCTACCTGACCTGTTTCCGTTCGCCCTGATTGGCTTGGAAAGATACAAAACTCCTCCCTGAGTGGAACCCGACCCAGCATCAGAGAAGTTAAATGAGTGTTCAGCCCGGCCTGCGAATGTGTGCGTTTCTATCTGTGTAGTTGCCGATTTCCACTTACCTCTTGCACCACAATTTGCCACAGATGAGGCTGTCTGCATATATCAGCTCAGACCATCCAGCATCAATGTTTGCTGACAGGACGATATGCTGTGTTAATGTAGTAAAATGAGGAGGCTCAAACTGTAGGCGTGTTTTGTCTTCCATACTATGCAAATACTACCCACACTGGGCTCTCATTTGTTGGCAAAGAGAGTCAGGCATGTTACAGATAAACACTTTCACCACTGAGTTTGGCAAATGTGCTTAATGACACCAAACTGCAACCAGTGGATGGCTACTGATATTCTCATCCATAATTTTTGTAATTGTTGGGGACATAGTAAGATATTTACATGTTTTCAGAGTCCTACTTTTTAAAGAGATGCTGTCTCGCAGCAAAGCTTGCACCATGTTATGTTTTTTTAAGGAGGTCCTATACTTTCACAATACAACATGATGTCACAGACACATAATTTCTGTTTGCTATTTAATGATGCTAATGATTTGCTTGCAATTTACTAAAAACACTTGTAGTGTTCAGGTAAACTAATGAGAGTTTTTTTATGACATATGCTATTTTTGCTTAATTGGAAAAGAAAGTAAGCTTGTTTTTGCTGTTTTTTTTTTCCTCTGAAGACTAAATATGTTTATCTGCTTAACATATTACAATTACCTGTGACAAATTGGAACTTTGCACTCATAAGTCAGTTCATTCACAAATACGGCATTTTACATAATGATACTGACAGAAACTCTTTATTAGGAAATGAGTGCAGCTGTATTGGCAGACGGTCACAGTTTTATACTCTGCTGGTCACATTTATTGCTTAATGACTCGTAATGGGATCTCTTTGTGGTGGCAGCCTGACAAAGTTTTAAAATCTTATATCCAGCCAAAAAGTCTTTTTATCTTGTTTTGAGACTGATTTACTAA